ACACACACACACACACACACACACACACACACACACCCGTTTCCTTCTAACCACCAGAATCTTTTTTTTTCTTTTTTTTTGTTACGGGGGATCGACCTCTGGTCCTTGTGCTTGTGCAGCAGGCGCTGGAACCACTGAGCCACATCCCTGGCAAACCATCAGAATCTTCAAAGCCACATCTCTGGAATCAAGACTCCTCTGCTTGCTTCTCCCCACAGTCAGTAAGTAAATCCCCTCATCTTTGATTCCAGGGTCGTAAATATGTCCTAAAACCTTTCTTCTCAGTACTCTGTACCTCATTAAGATTCTGATCATGTCTCACCTGGATCTCAGCAGTTGCTGACCTGGTTTCCCCACCATTGCTTCTTCCCATTTCAGCTATACCAGATGGAACTTTCTAAAACCTGTTTGTGGTCAGGCATGATGACGCACGTCTATGGTGCCAGCACTTGGGAGGCTGAGGCAGGAGGTCACCATGAGTTCAAGGCCAGCCTGAACTACATAGCAAGACCTTATCTCAAAACCCCCCCAAAACTGTGTTACTCACATAATGGGAAAAAAATGTTTTGTTCAAATACCACCCTCATGATTCTTTTTTTTTTGGTACCGGGAATCAAACTCGGGTCCTTGGGGTTGCACAGCAGGCAGTGAAACCACTAAGCTAAATCCCCGGCCCACACCCTCATGATTCTTTAGACTTCCTTTTACTATTTTTTTTTTTGGTACCAGAGATGGAACTCAGGACCTTGCACTTTCAAGGCAGGCACCGGAACCACTGAGCTAAATCCCCGGCTAGACTTCCTTTTAAAAATTAGCTTCATTTTAAGTAATAACATTTGTGAAATCATAAGTGTGATGTGCTATATTTATGCCCTTTTATGCCATAAATATATGTCAAATGTAAGTATTTCCTAATTTTTTTTTTCTGGTACCGAGAATGGAACTCATGACCTTGTGCTTGCGAGGCAGGCACAGTGCCACTGAGCTACATCCCTGGCCCTAGTACCTAATATTTAAAAATATATACATCATTGTCCTGTGTCATCTAAAACTGTCTCCCATAACTACTGGGCTTCTGAACCATTGACTCGGAAGAGTTTCTGTGGTGTGACCCTGCTTCTGCTTTGCCAACCACATCCTGCTGTTGCTCCTCCCTTCACCCCTTACTTCCATGAAGGCTGAAGTCCTGGCAGTTTCCCTGTGTATCATGGTTGTCTCATCCTCTGTGCCCTTCTTAGAGCACCCCTCTCAGGTTCTCCTTCAGGAACTTTAACCGTAAGGAATCACGCATCAGCTTCCAGTGTTACCTGAAAGCACTCCTATGTCTGAGTCCACTTTTGTTGTGTGGTTTTTCACATTCATGGCTGCTGACACCTGATAGCAGGGCCTACATCTTCTCTGGGTTGCCTATCCCTGGCGTTGAACCAGAGCTCAAAAAAGTGTGTTGCTTTAGCCAAATCCAGACTTTAAAAGATTTTAATTCAAATCAGGGCCCAAGGAGTGATTCTAATTTGTGAAAGTCTTCAATTAGCTGTGTTTCACTGCTCCAGGAAAAGACACTGGAACTGGTCGATCCCGGAGTTGCCTAGTTAAGAGAACTAGGTGAGCTGAAACTCATACTTCTAAAGCCTGAACGTACTTGTGCCTCTCACTTGCCATATATTGATGAGCACATATTAATCTGTGATGAGTTGTGTTTGCTAGGTTACTTCCAGAACTCAGGAACTTTAGAAGCTACGTGGTTGGGACTGGATTTGTATTGGAAATAATCCAAAAGAGAGAAAATACTATGTTCATAAGGTCTCAGTCAACATTTTCATTTAGAGCAGCAAAAGATTGTAAACTCGTTTGTTTTTGAGACAGGGTCTCCCTGGGATATAGCCCAAGTTGGCCTTGAACTCAAGATCTTCCTGTCTTAGCCTGTTGTGCTAGGGTTGCAGCAGGCAGCAGTGTATCCAGCTGGAGACAATAAAAATGATTAAGTACAGTATAGTACATTCATTTAAAGGATTTTTTTCTGCTGAGAAATTTTGAGATTACAGGTATGTTAAGAAAAATTACACTTCAAAATCTTGGAAGAGGTGGGCACAGAAAGACATTCTAAATGTTCTCACTCATCTGTGGAAACTAAAAGGTTTATTTTCATTGAAATAGAGTAGAGTTGTGATCACTTGTAGGAAGGGAAGGAGGAAAGGAGAGAGAAGCTGGATGACCAGTACAAAGAATAAGTACTAAGTGTTTTCCAACACAGTAGGGGGACTATAGTTGACAACAATTTGTTGTTTGTTTTTTTTTTGTCCCGGGGATCAAACTCGGGTCCTTGCACTTTCGAGGCAGGTGACGGAACTACTAAGCTACCTCCCCGGCCCTATAACAATTTGGTTTTGGGCGGGGTGGGGGTGAGGTTGGTACCAGGGATCGAACTCGGGACCTTCTGCTTGGGAGGCTGGCGGCGGCACCACTGAGTGGCACCACTGAGCTAAATCCCCGGCCCTAACAATTGGTTTTATGTTTTGTTGTGTTGTTTTGAGACAAAGGGCTGGTTATGTAGTTCAGGCTGGCCTTGAACTCATCCACCACGCCCAGCAAGTGTATAAAAATTGATCACATTTTATAAAGCAGAAGAGAGGAGTTTAAAGGTTCCCACACCAAGTAATGGTAAATGTTGAAGGAGACAGAAATGCAGCCAGGGATGTAGCTCAGTGGTTCTGCTGCCTGCTGTGCAAGTGCAAGGACCCGAGTTTGATCCCCGGTAACAAAAAAAAAAAAAAAAAAAAAAAAGAAATGCTAACTATCTTGATTTGATCATTATACATTGTTTACATGTCTCAAATTATCTCTTTTTATCCCCCAAATATGTTCAATTTTCAATGAAAAAATAAAGCCAGATGGACACATCTGAGAGAATAAGCAGTGTAGAAAAGAAAAGAAATGCACAGATTATTGAATGAACTTTACCATTATCCCATTATGGACTCTGCAAAACATAGACGTAGCTCAGTGGTGGAGCACTTGCCTAGCGTGCGTGCAGTCCTAAGTTCATCCCCAGCATCATAAAACAATCTCATTACCAAAGCTATGCCAGAAAAACGCAAAGTACAGCTCCTTAGCAGTCAGAAGGGTACACTTTACTGGGGGCCAGTAAGCTGAAGAGAGCAATATAGGGTGAAAAAGGCTTGGAAGGGATACATCAAAAGCCTACTGTCCAGTGCATTAAGAGTTAAGTTAAAAAAAAGAGTTAAGAAATAACAGCGTAGGGCTGGGATTTAGCTCAGTGGTTCCACCACCTGCTGCACAAGCACAAGGACCCGAGTTCAATCCCTGGTACCAAAAAAAAAAAAAAAAGAAATAACAGGTAGATAGAAAAAAAAACCAAAAATAAAGAAATAACAGGTAGAGTTTTTTTGTTCTTTCTTTCCCAGATTTTCTGAGCTGGGTTCCGAAGGGATAACCCAATCAGAAACACCACAGAAAAGCACCAGTCCTGGGCTAAAGGCAGAGTGGTCTCACCCGTGCCCCTGTTTCCCTCCTAGCTGGTAGCACAGTCAGGACTCCCTTGTTTTTGACTGCACAGAGTTCCCGAGGCAGGTTCCCACTGTTTTTCAGAACTCGCAGCCAGCCCAGGAGTCAGCAGGAGGCTGGTTCTCTCATCACATCAAGGGCAGCTTTCCTGGTCAGGCCCAGAGGTACAATCCAGGTGCCATAGCTACATTAAATCAAATGAAGTAATGATGCTGGAAGGGATGGGGTAGAGTCGATGGCTTCTGGGACTTAACTGTCTCAAGATTTCTGCAGTGGTTAAAAGAACCAATTTTCCTGTCTGGTCTCTGGGTGTTTGCTTGATTCTGCTCCTCTGTAGGTCACACTTTGTCTTCTAAGCTCTCCAGCACCCCTGCAGTATTCCAGTTGTCGGCTGGGTACTGGAGCAGCAGTGCTCAGTGCTGCAGAAAAATATCATGGATACAAGCTTTGGTTACTGTGACACCGAGCGCTCTTCCCAGCCCCTTCTATTGCTCTTGTGTTCCTTTTCTTGGTCATTCACTCTGTCACTCATCCTACTCACAGCTCAAAAACCTGGAATTTGCTCTGGTGTTTCCCCTTTTCCTTAAATACAGTCACCAGATGCCACTGCATGCTGACATCGAGTTGCTGAATAGCCTCCAAACAGAGCCCTCCGATTCCAGTCTCAGTCACTCCTGCTATCTTTTACACTGTGGCCAATCCGGTCCTGTCACTCACTTGTTTAAAATCTAGTGGTCAGGGCCAGGGATTTACCTCAGTGGTCCCTAGTTCGATCCCTGGTACCAAAAAAAAAAGAAAACACAAATCTTAGTGGCCAGGCATGGTGGTGCATCCCTTGTAATCCCAGCTACTCGGGAAACTGAGGCAGTAGGGTCACAGGTTTGAGGCCAGTCTGGGCGACTTAGTAAGCTCCTGTCTCAGAAATGAAAAAGGCTGGGGATGTAGCCTAGGTGAGGTCCTGGCTTCCATCCCTAGTACTACAAAGTAAAAGCAGGAATGCCTCGGAGAGCACTTCAGGTACAGTTCAGACCAGTTCACTTGTTCTTGAGGCTTTGCCTGTATCTCACGATCCTCTTGCACTGTGGCAGTTTTCTTTGAGGCCTTAATTTCATCTCCTGTAAAATGGGGATAATAATCACTACTTACTGGAGCCAGGGATGTAGCTCAGGGGTTCCGCCACCCGCCTCGAAAGGGCAAGGTCCTGGGTTCAATCCCCGCTACCAAAAAAACCCAAACAACTAATCATTACTTACTTCATGCAGTTGTAATAAGGCCCTTTAGACTGCACCATGCCTCCCTGCTTTCCACGAAGTGCCCTGTGTCTTCAGTACTCCTTCCAGCTGGCTGGCTTCTGTGTGATAATCAGTATTTAAGTCTTACAAACCCAGCTGAAGTGAAAGCCGTTCCCTTGTGCTCTAGCTTCCTGTGCAGGGTCTACCGGGGCACTGTTACATGGGGGCCATGTCTGTCCTTCGTCTCCGGCTCACCTGGGCTTAATTTGGCTTTGTCAGATGCTAGCTGGGTGATGTCAGACAAATCATTTACCCTTTCCAAATCTCCCATTTCTCTTCAGGAGTTTGGACCAAGTGATCCCTTCATCCCCGCCCTGTACCAGGGATCAAACTCAGGGGCTTGTGCTTGCAAAGCAAGTGAGCTAAATCCCTGGCCCATCCCTTCAATTTTGAAATGGGAAGAAGAAATGCTGCAATATAGTCTTAGAAAATGAGAGAATATGTTCCCAAATAGGGCGCATCTCCTATTATTCTCCTTTTTCTTCTCTCTCTTTTAGAGGTCATTTGCTTCTGAGAACGTTCCTGACAGGGACCATGCTCTCCCCAACTTCAGCTGGCACAAGGACTTACGACTTCTCTTTGACCAGTTCATGAAGAAGTGTGAAGCGGGCTCCTGGAAACGTTTGCCTTCATACAAACGAAGTCTTCCTGAGACCGTCCAAGATTTCCAAACCCTTTATGTTGGTAGGCACAGCTGTTTTCCTATCAGTAATATTTGATTATCAAATAGAAAACTAAGAACAAGTTGAAGTACTAGTTATTACTTGAGAAAGAGTATAGTACGAGGATTTCTGTAGCCACCAGTTTTATGGGCCAGAAATCTCAATAGATTTTGCAGATTATGGGAGAATGTAAAGCCTGCTGTCAAGAATCAGATGGCCCCACCCTGGCAGTCTCATCCCCATGAGCCTGCACCCGCATCACCCCTCTATGGAGGCTGTCATCACCAGTCTCAGTTTGCCTTTGTCACAATACCTGGCGCCATCACCCTAAGCAGCTCAGAACACTCAGGCCTCCCCTGCATATTTCAGCTCTAAAACCCCAAAAGCAACCCACCTACACCTAGTATACACCCAGTGTTAGGATACTTCCATGTCTCAGTGTTTAGTAATCCTTCTCTGTTCTCCTTAGGTAATTGTATTCAGTCTCATGGCCTAAGAGCCTATCCAAAAGCCAATGGTTCCCTAATTTAATGGTAAAATAGTTATTTCTCAGTTGATATTCTGGTTCCACAATGTAAAGCCACGTGACCTTGGGCACGGAACTTTACCTTTACATGCCTCTGTTTTCCTAGTGAAGGAATGCATGAAACAGACATACAGCTACTTTAACCAAGAAAAAATAGTAAAGTTCTTAAGTTTCTTTTCAGACCTTTCAGTTTAGAGCTAAGAATTCTGTATATAGATGAAGGGAAAATTAATTTGTATTTTTAATTAAATTAAATGATTAAATTTATGAAATTACTTAAAAATTAACTTTTTAGGGCTAGAGGTGCAGCTCAATGGTAGAATGTTTGCCTAGCACTCATAAAGCCCCAGATTCCATCTCCAGCCCTACAAAAATAATTACTAATTTTTTAAATTAAAATTTTATAAATGATTTAAAATGTAATTGATTTGTAATATTTATGCCATTCTACTACCACATCACACAATGAATTGAAAGTCCTTACCTTAGTGCAGTCTGGCTTCTACTTGATCGGCTCTACTAAAATGTCTTCATGGAAGGTACTGCTGACTTAAGTGCTGAATTCGGTGGGCATTGTTCATTTTGTTGTGTTACAGTGATCCTGTAACCCCTCCTGCCTCTATTCTCACCCTCAAAGCCCTCCTTACTCCCCGCTGTCCAAGTGGCTCAAAATGCAGATCTGAGCTGGGCATAGTGATGCACACCTGTAATCTCAGCACTCTGGGAGCCTGAGGCAGGATTATCACCAGTTAGAGCCCAGCCTGGGCAATTTAGGGATTAGTGAGACCCTATTTAAAAAACAAACTGGGGATGTAGCTCAGTGCGAAGACCCTGGGTTCAATCCCTGGTGCCCCTCTACACACACACACACGCACACACACACACTCACACACACACACACACACACACACACACACTATGCAAAGCTGATTTTACCCCTCTGCCACCTCTATTGTCATTCTCTGCTATGTGAGTGAGAAGCCCTGGGAGTCTCGGTCAAGGCTGATTGTGCTTTAGTGGGTTAGGAGTAGAGCCTGAGACTCTGTATTTCAAACAGACCTGTTCTACTAGCCTTATTTTTCTTATTTTGGTGAGATGATCTCATGGTTTGGTAATCTAGACTAGAAATGTTGAACTCTTGTTTTTTCTTTTGGTACCGGGAAATCGAACTTTGGACCTTGTGCTTGCGAGGCAGGCACTGGAACCACTGAGCTAAATCCCTGGCCTGAAATTTTGAACTCTTATGTAAAAATTTAGAAGCTTGTCTTATCCTGAATATACCTGCCTCATTCTGACGTCAGCATTAGAAGAGATCTTGCATTTATTTCATTGTAAATAAATGGATAAACTGGAGCAAAAGAGCTAGTTCTAGGCTAGAGCCAGACTTAAGAATTTTAATCTCCCTGGGCCAGTGGTGGTGAACCAATGGCATGCATGCTATTTGTTTTTCTTTTAAGACAAAAAATGTTAATGCTGAGTTGTTTTTTTCTAAACTGAAACTTCAGCATTCAGGTTTAATTGTAGTGTTGGCACTTTGCGATAAATAAGTGGGTTTTGCCGTAGGCCAGGTTTCTCCTCTGCCTTGACTCCTAGGCCAGGGTTCTTGCTGCCACACCATAGTACTAATCCCTGACTTTAAGTTTCTTTGTCTGGCCCTCTGAGTCCTGACTTTCCTCGGCACCTGCTTGGACACATACCCTGTGCACACATCTGTGCCAGCTGGGCATGCAGGCTAAAAGGGTGACTGTCCAGGAGACTCAAGGCCTGCAGAGAAGACACCCTTCCCCAGCCTCACTTCTTCCAGGCCTTCTCATCCCATGTCCTTGTCCAGGTTTTTACATGTAATTAGGTAGAAATAAAGCAATGTAAGTAATTTTATGCATGACAAATCATGACAACCTATGAAAGAAAGCTAAGAATATAGAGGATTAAATTTTAAAATAGATATGAAAGAACAAACACACCATTTCATTAAATCAGTCACTTTCGAATCAGCCTATATTTTGACTCAACGCAGAACATCTACCCTTCACAGAGTACTGAGTGAAGAACTACCTAAACAGTTGCACTGGGATTTAGAGCCAGAATATATGTGAAGTAGTCTTTTGCTTTTGCTTTTGCTTTTGTTTTTGTTTTGAGACAGGGTTTCTCTCTGTAGTTCAGGCTGTCCTTGAACTCACTATGTAGCCCAGGCCGGCCTCAAACTCATGGCACTCCTCCTGCCTCAGCCTCCTGAGTGCTGGGTTTACAGGCATGCACCACCATGCCCAGCATATTCTGTTTCTTTTTAAAGTCTGATTGCAACCCACTAATTTGATTTCATGATCCTGATGGCTCTACCCTAATTGGGGGATTTAGCATCTTCATCACACTGAATATTGAACTTGACCCTGTTTCTATTTATATTATTTTTTTTTGTTAAATTCTTTTATTGGTACATTGTAGGTATACAACACATTTACATTTCTCATTGGGAACCTGTACCTTTACATGATGCATCTTGGTTCTTATTTTTTCCCCATTCCTAGCCCTCCCTTCACCCCCTCCACCCTTCCCTATTTACAGAGACTTTATTTCCATTTTTTCCATTTCTCATCATTTTTCCTTTCCCTTCTTTCCTTTCTCCTGCCCCTCCCACTATCCCTACCCCTTTGGACCTTTTCTTCCTGTTTTGCCTTATCGATTATTTTGAACTTGACCCTATTTCTTACTCAGTATAACTAACAGGTTAAACTCAGGTCTGCTAGAGTTACAGTTAGATTATTCATTTTCTTTAAATTTCATTTGAACCGTGCTTAGTCCTCCAAGAAGAGTTTCTGTTTGTACTTTGCCACTTTATCCAGTTTTCCATCAGCAATCGCAGGCTGTATTTTCTGCTTGCCGTGTGTGGGTAAGTCCTTTGTTTTCATTTCAAGTGTGTGTAGTCCGCCCCCGATGAGACCCGAAGTTCCCCAAGGGCAGAGATTCTGTATTCGGTCCCTGACACCTTCCCACTCCTTTCAGTTCGCACCCAGTTGACGTATTAATCACCGATCTGTCGGCACGCGAGTCCGGCAGGGTGCGAGCCCTTCTCTCCTGGCATTTGTCTCCTGTTTCTCACCCAGCTGTGCCCATCTACTTGTTTCTTTACAGACCCGAAGCTTCTGAAGAAACAACCAATTTCACAGGCCCAACTTTTCACCAGAAGCTTTGAGGACGGCCTGGGCTTTGAGTATGTGATGTTCTGCAATGATGCTGAGAAAAGAGTAGTTTGCTTTTTTCAAGGAGGTCCTCACCTGCAGGGCACACCCGGGTAAGGGTGCTCTCGAGGTGTGGGTATGAAAGGGTTTATCTCCTAGCCCCTCATGTATCTGGGGGTGCAAAGAAGACATTAAAATGGTCATGTAGATATATAGTCATTGACATTAAAAGATGTTTATAGTATATCATTAAAATACGTATTCTCTCTATTGTTTATTAATTAACATTTTAATATATTATTGTAGGACACAGGGCAATCAAGTATAACTTCGGGGACTATGATTAACGTGTAAACAGCGGCTTAGCCCTGACTGGATGGTAGTGTTATGGGCCTTAATTTTTTCTTCTACTTATCTGCATATCCTAAATTTTTGTTTTTTTGGTACTGGGGATCAAATTGGGACCTTGCGCTTGTGAGGCAGGTGGCAGAACCACTGAGGTAGATCCCCCGCCCTGAATATCCTAAATTTTTTAACAGTGAATGTATATAGTTTGTTTAGTAAAAATAGAAATTTTCTAGATTATAATTGAGCTTTTTGCCAGCTGTGATCTGATTAAGTTATGATTTTATTTTTATTTATTTATTTATTTATTTTGGTACCCGGGATTGAACTCGGGTCCTTGCGCTTGCACAGCAGGCAACGAAACGACTGAGCTAAATCCCCGGCCCTAGTTATGATTTTATTATAAGTGCTTAAGACCACACTACTGTGATATAAACACAGTAACACTGATTTGACTGACATTCAGTATCCTGAACACGGACTGTGAGAGCCTCTCCTAAGTGAATGTGTGGAAATGCTTGGATCGTTTCCCTCTCTCTCACGAGGCTCCCTGTTTCCTGGCCCTTCTGAAAGCATTTCTCTTTCTGTGTTGTAACTAGGTTCACTCATGGTGGCGCCATTGCATCCATCATTGATGTTACCACTGGTACATGTGCGTTTAGAGCCGGAGGAGCTGTCATGACTGCCAATCTCAACATCAATTATAAAAGGTAAATTTGTAATAATTCCGTACCTCTCCTTAGGTGTCACAAGTCAGATTCCCCAGCAGCAGATCCTGAGACAAAGCTTTGTGTGCCAGTGCTTACTAGGGAAGTACTCGCAGGGGGAAGGAACAGGGACAGGGAGAAGCAGGACAGTCAGTGCAGGTGAGGAAGCCACCCAAGGCTGAGCTCTTGCCAAGCTCCCCAAATCCTGCAGAGGGTAGCTGCAGCCTGATCGTACAGACGAACTCCACAGTGAAATGCGCTCCTCAGCACTGTCCCTGTCTCAGATGAGGGAGCTGGAGTCTTCATACACCCACACGTGGTGGCCAGGACAAGGACTACCTGGGGACCATGAGTTCTCAGGCACAGGATCCTAAGGTCTCTGTGTGTGAGCAAAGCAGGCTCTAGGGAATTTTTATTGGGGGTGAGGTACTGGGAATTGAACCAGGGCCTTCACACTGAGCTACATTCCCAGCCCCTTTTTATGTTTTGAGACAGGATCTCACTAAGTATGTTGCCCAGACTGTGCTCAAACTTGCATTCCTCCTGCCTCAGCCTTTCAGAGTGCTGAGATTACAGGCGTGTGCCACCACCCTCGGCTAGGGCACGTAATTTTTGTAAAATGAAAAAAAGATCTGGGTGAAGCACCAACATCTACTATATAACAAAATATAGAAATTTTACCTAACTTCACACAGAGTTTGGAGTCCAACAGAAACAAACCTCAACATCTTCAGTCACACAGCTGTACCTTTACCATAAAAAGAAGTGTGGATACCTGCCCGGGAATAAAGGGCAATACCGCAGAACAGAACTTACAAACGGAAAGTTCAATACGTGAGACTCCAGGTGAGGTTTTGTGGCTTCTGACCTTGGAGAACTCTTCTGTGCCCCATAGTAGCATCTTGAGGGCCATGCTTTATAGATTATGGGTTGATTGCCTATCAGTAATCCTTAGGGATATCCTACCAAGGTCAATCCATAGAAAAGGGTTCTTTCTCTTAGAAAATATTAGTTGATTTCAGGGATCAGCAGACTTTTTCTGTGAACATGCTTTGTGAGCTAGATGGTCTTTGACACAAATAGTCAACTTTGACATTGTAGCACAAAAGCAGAAATAGACAATACATGAACAAGTACAGCTGTGTTCCAGTGAAACTTTATTTACAAAAACAGCCATCCATCCAGTGGGCCTGTGTACACAAACACAGAATTGCAGGCCAACTATTTTAACTTCTTCCTCCTCGGCTGCCAATGATAATATAACTTCAAATTAAAATTACTTAAACAGAATAGAACCGTATTATGTGAAATAAATCTAGAAAAAGGTATCCTGAGCTGGCATGGCAACTCCATGGTTCCCAGAGATGCATGTGCCTTTCATTTTTTCACCATCCAGAATGACTGCAAGAACCATCCAGCCCTACTATGAGATCTTAAAAAAATTGAGGTATACAGTACAATATTGACAGCAGGCACAATGTGGTTCAGCAGATCTCTAGCACTTAATTATCTTGCCTAATTGAAACTTTATTCTTATTGATTAGCAATTTCTACCCCTCCTTATAATCACCATTCTGCTCTCGGACTCTTTGTGTTTTTTTTTTGTTTTTTTTGGGTACCGGGGATTGAACTCTCGGGTCCTTGCGCTTGTGAGGCAGGCGGCGGAACCACTGAGCTAAGTCCCCGGCCCAGACTCTTGGCTTTGATTTGTGTGTGTGTGCGTGGTTCTGGGGATTGAGCCTTGGACCTTCACTCTGAGCTACATCCCCAGGCCTTTTTGTATATATTTTATTTTGAGTCAGGATCTTATTAAGTCGCTAAATTGCACAGGCTGGGCTTAAACTTGTGATCCTCTGCCTCAGCCTCCTGATATGCTGGAATTGTAAGTGTGTGGCACCATCCCCAGCTAGTTTGACTTTTTGGGGGCCACCAAGTGGTTGCCAGGGATTGAACCCAGGATCTCTCACATGCTCAGTACACACTGTACCACTGAGCTCTGTACTCGACCCCTGAGTTTGACTATTTTTGATGATACCTTATATAAGTATTTGTCCTGCTGTGACTGGCTTATTTCACTTAGCTAAGTGTCTTCAAATTTCACCCATATTGTCTCATATTGCAAGATTTCCTTTTTTTTGGTACCGGGGATTGAACTCAGGACCTTGTGCTTTTGGGGTAGGTGTGGTGCCACTGAGCTACATCCCCGGCCCTAGATTTCCTTTGTTTTTAAGGATGAATATTCTCTTATAGGTATGTACACATTTTCTTTATTATATCTTAACTATAATGAATAGCATAGTGAACGTTGGGGTCCTAATTTCTTGTCAAGATCTTGATTTGTATAAATATCCAGAGGTGGGACTGCTGGATCATGTAGTAATCCTATTTTTAATTTTTTGAGGACTGCTTCTACTGCTCTCCATACTGGGTCCAACATTTTACATTCTCACACACAGAGTGTAAGGGTTCCAGTTCCTCCACCTCCTGGCCCACAGGTGTGGGTGCTGGGGATTAAACCAAGAGCCTCACACATGCTGAGCGTGTTCTCTTTCACATCCCAACCCCGCAAACCCTGTCTTTTTTGTTCTAATTTTGTAATAGCCATCCTGATAAGTGAGGTGATATTTCAGTTTTGTATTTGTACTTTCTTTTTTTGTACCGGGGATTGAACTCGGGTCCTTGTGCTATTTGTATTTTCTTGTTCCTAATGATTAGTAACATTAAGCATCTTTTCATACATTGTTGGCTATTTGTATGTCTTGTTTTAGAAAATGTTTATTTGGGTCTTTAGCCCATTTTTACAATTAGGCTATTTTGCTACTGAGTCACGGGAATCCTTATATATTCTGGAAATCAACCCCTTATCTGATATATAGTCTTACAAATACTCTCTCCCATTCTGTCAGTTGCTTTCTTTACCTTTCAGAACATACTGTTTCTGGGCCGGGGATTAAGCTCAGTGGTTCTGCCGCCTGCCTTGCAAGCACAAGGTCCTGAGTTCAATCCCTGGTACCAATTAAACAATTAATTTTGTATCCTGATACTTTACCAAATCTCTTTATTCTAGGAGTTTTTATGTGGAATCTTCAGCATTTTCTACATCATCATGCCATCTGCAAACAGATAATTTTACCCCTTTCAAGTTTGGATACCTTTTATGTATTTTTCTTTCCTAATTACTTTGTTTAAACTTTCAGTACTATATCAACAAGAAAAGATTTTCGCAGTAAAAAGAAAATACTATACAACATGATAAGAATATATTGTTTTTAATATTTTTCCATGTTTTAAAAAATATTTTTCCACATTCACATAAAGTTGAATGAAGTACAACATACTCCCTCAAAAAAACCTTTTAGGCAGGGAGGGCATGGTGGCACACACCTCTAACCTCAGCTACATGCGAGGCTGAGGTAGGAGCATCAAAAGTACTAGGCCAGCCTGGGCAGTTTAGTGAGACCCTGTCTCAAAAAAAACAAACAGGGGGCCGGGGATTCAGCTCAGTGGTTCTGCTGCCTGCCCTGCAACCACAAGGACCAGAGTTCGATCCCCAGTACCAAAAAATGAAAAAATAAAAAGGACTGGAAATGTAGTTCAGTGCTCCTGGGGTTCACTCTCTAGTATCCAAAAAAAAAAAAATTAAAAGGTTCATTTCAAAGCAAACTGAATTAAATTATTTTGATTGCAGTTTAGTTCAGGTGTTTGTCTTGAATATATGCTACCTGTGACTCTGTACTTAGTCATCCCTTCCAAGAAGCCATCCACATAAATGAATTGCATTGCTGTTGTTTTGTTCCTGATGGTTAGAAAATATACATAATTTACATGGAATCCTGTGGATGGTGAGTGCAGTGAGGCAGGGTCAGAGCTCACATCTCACGACTCCAGCTCTGGTGCTCTCATCGCATTGCACAGCCTTCATTCTCTCTGTCAAGTGACAATGAGAGGTCAGGGTAAAGCAGTGGATGATATAAACAGTTTAGAAGTGTATATTTATCAAGCCCTATCCTTTTGTGTAAGGTTGTTTAGATTCATAATAATGATAAAATTTAATCTGATCACTTGATAGTTCTTCAGGATACTAGAGGGAACATCCTTGAATTAAATTTTGTAAAAATAATTTGGAGCCAGGTGTGGTGGTGCCCGCCTGTAGTCCCAGCACTCTGGGAGGCTGAGGCAGGAGGATGGCAAGTTTGAGCCCAGCCTGAGAAACTTAGCTCAGTGTGAACGCCTTGAGTTCAATCCCCAGAATTGAAAAAAAAAAAGTCAGGGAATTAAAATTCAACTTATAGTGTTAATTGAGCATCATTTAATCTACCTTCTTATTTATTCCTTAGCCATATAAAATAATTTCCAGCCCTCTGATCCAAATGTCACACTTATTTCCTTGTCCCTAGCATATTAAAGGAGACAGAGCCGCTCATAACTAGTGGTGGCCAGCCTGCTGAAAGGTCTGCTATCTCACCATGCCTGTAACCCATTCAGGGCATATCAGGAGGGAAGCTGTGGTTTGGACTTCTGCATGCAACGTGGCAGACAAGAAGCACTGAACACACTCCTCCTTCAAGACCAGTAGATCTTGTACCAAGTACAAAAGTCAGTAAACTACCAAGAGTATCAATAGAAACAATAAATGACAGATTTAGACCCTCAAAGACTCAACAAGGTATCACGATATGTTTATCAAATACACAATAGAAAAGAACAAAGTATGAGATTTTTAAAGATGAAATCACAAAAATAAAAAGCAGTAAGAAGCTATAAAAATTATTAGGCAGATTTGCCATGGAACCTAATAAATCTTTTATAAATTAAAGTGTAGAAATTATTTTAAAGCACAAACAGCAGTGACTAGGTTAAAGCACTATTTATACACAATTGAAAGTGAACAGAAATGTAGATCTGAAGAAATTACTCTGACAAAGCTGTGCTGTTGAAGCCCAAAATCTTTTCTCTGAATCTATTTAGAAGCTCAAAAGCTATAGAATTAACCTTCCTGTTTTCCTGTTATAACTACCCCACTGTGTGGGCAGTCTATATAGAAGGGTTTCACTGCTCCTTGCATGGTGGGATAGCAAGGGGTAAATCTTGTGGGTAGAAAACAGGAATTATTCTATCAGAATTTTTTTTTTGGTACCGGAGATTGAACTCAGGACCTTGCGCTTGCGAGGCAGGCAGTGGCACCACTGAGCTAAATCCCTGGCCCCAAAATAGGAATTATTCTCTGCATATTAGATATTTAAAACAAACATATATGGTGGGATGGATCCGACAGAGTCTAGGCTCTTGTGTAGGATGAGTATAGAATTGCAAATGTGCATCCAGTAGTAAAAGAAAGGCAGCTGCATTTGTTGAAGATCGCTGAAAGATCTGCTCAGAGCAGGCAGAAACAGGAAAGTGGTGCCGGGAGGACAGGAAAGTAAAAGGCACAGCACACAAATTAATCAGGCGTTGGGATTTTAAAGGAAGTGCACCCCAACCCAGTGCTTCTTACTGGGTCTCTAGGTAAGATTGACAGGAATGATTGACAAGGGTCTGAGTCGTCTCAGGGGCTTTTGTCCCAGCATTCACTCTGATTAAATTTCATGTATGAGATATAGTCCATGTTTATGAACCTTAAAAGAGGTTCGAGTGGGGCCGGGTGTGGTGGTGCCCACCTGTGATTGCAGCCCTCGGGAGGCTGAGGCAGGAGGATCACTGCGAGTTTGAGGCCAGCCTAGGTTACATAGTGAGTTCAAGGTCAGCCTGAACTATGAACTATATAGTGAGACCCTGTCTCAAAAAAAAAAAAAAAAAGTTTCAGAAAGGTTAGAACAATGGAAGGAGGATTGGCCCTGGGGTGTACATTTTTTACTACAGGGCTTAAGAAGTGTATCTGGCCCGGGCATGGTGGCACATGCTTGTAATCCAAGCACTTGGGAAGGTGAGGCACAGGGGACCGCTGCCAGTTTGAGGCCAGCCAGGGCTACCTAGTGAGAGTTCCAGGCCAGCCTGAACTACATAGCGAGACCCTGTCTCTCAAAAGAAAAAGAATGAACCATATCTGGCCTCTTTTGTAGACCTTAAGACCCTTTGTAGTGATTGACTCTAGACAATATAAAGTTATATCAAAAAGGTAACAAAGCTTAGTAGCTAGACTATTTATATTTCCATTCTTATTTTATAGCCACACCTATACAAGAATATAAATCTTTACCTGAGGAGTACTTAAAAGTAGATGAGTATACCATAATGGGGATATATCGAGAGAGGCTGAGGCACACAGTTTTGGAATAGCTAGTGTGACTGGAAATCAGAACTTTTTACGACTGTAAGTTACAGGTACAGCTGGAGACTGTCAGCAGGGCCTGGTGCAGTTTCTGGAGCCTTTTTTTATATCTAGCCTAGCTTTTTAATATTAACATTAACATTAATATTCTCTCTCTATGTATCCTTTTGGGTTATATTTGCCTGCTGAGTTTTCAAGACCAAGTAAAAGTAAGACTGTATTAATCAAAATTACTCTCTCCACACACACACACACACACACACACACACACACACACGTCTCTTCATAGTTACTTCTGGGGCCATGCGAGGAGCCTCTTAGCCCCCTAGTTTTTCCTCTACCAGTTGTCATATGGCAGGATGGATCGTGAGCTTTGCTTGGCCGTCCGGCTCCCCTTGGAAACACAGGGGACATTTCCTCTCTACTGACCTGCCCTTTGCAGATTGCACGCTGATTGACTCCTGTCCCCTGAGTCCAGCATCACCCTGCTTGGGAGGCTGGATGACTCCCTGGAGTTGCAGATCCTTCAGAGGGGTCCCTCATGCCCTGGGTCCTGCCTGACTTTGGAGGGTCGGGGCCAAAATGTTGGCTGTTCTCTTCACGCAGTTACCTTCTTTAGCTTTGGTCTCTAAACTCCTAGAAGGTCATTTGCACCAGTCTTGAAGTGGGAATAGAAAGCTTTAGTTATTATAATCCTACCTGGAGATCAGGCACTTTGAAATATAAAGTATGACTGGAGAACAGCTGCTGCTTATTAATCATGGTCAGAGTTAGTATTAGGAGTCTGTCTTATTTCATATGTACTACAGGTGGTAACCTACCATCTTAACATATCGTGTAGTACTTTTTTGTAAGTCATATTTCTGCAGAATGTTACCAGATCAGAATTACAAAATTTTACAAGGAAAATTTAAAATCAACAACAAATAAAGCATTTATTAACTCTGAAAGAATACATTTAAATTCCTATTTTACTGTAAAATAACTTAAAACAGGTTACCCTTACCCAATTGTAAAATATTCCATGATATATATAAATATACGATATATTCTTATCAAGTAGAAGGTGCTTGTCTACAGGTGCAGTCCACAGGTGAGCAGTGTCTAGATTGTATTGTGTTTAGCACACCTGTCACAATACAGTTACACAACTGTCAAATAAACGTAAGCCTGAAAGAATTTATCATTACAATTGTGTTTGAGGACATCAGTATTATAATATTCTTTAATCCGAGTCCTAGAAGAACAGAACAGAGAGGATGGAAGAGACCCAGAATTTGAAGATATACTGGGTGAGCGTATTCTAGAACTAAAGAAAATCATGAACCCACAGGTACAGAAAGCATAACAAATAGCAAGCAGGATACATAGATATAAAACTGTGCGGGAAGATATAGAAAAATACAGACTATTACAAATAGAGGGATCTTAGAAGCAGTCCATCAAAGACAAGAGAGGGCACCATTACACTAGCAATAAACCTCCAAGTAACAACTGCAGAATGAAGTATCTTCAGAGTGCTGAGAGAAACACGTGAAGCTAAAGTCATGGCCTCAGCAAAACTGAAGTTCAAGGCAAAGTAGAGGATTTTTCATTAAGCAAAACTGCAGAGTGTGCAGAATGATAGGACAATACTCAGGGAACTTCTAAAGGGTGTACTTAAGAGACAGAAGGAGAATAGCCCCAGTAGGCAAGAGGATGAAAGAAGGAACAGAGCGAATAAACTGGTAGCATATAGGCAACACAGACAGAGTCTTACGGAAGTGAAGGCGGTATCTCAGTCTCAGGGACTGACGCGAGCCAGCCTTCAGCAGTTTGCCAACTTAAGCCCGGAGATGTTCTTGTTCACATACAGTCCCATGTTACCCTGGGCAGTGAGGGACTTACCCCGGGAGGTGGTTCAGGGAGGGGCTCCTTTGTGAGTATGGCTTTTCTGTCCTATTAGGACCCAGTGGCATTCAGCTTCTCAGGCTTTCTAATCCTTTACTGTAGTTTTAATGACATTTAAAAAATATTTTCCATTACCTCCAAGTTTTGAAATTTATTGATGTGAAGTTATTCATAATAACCTCAAGTTTTTAAATCTCAGCAGGGGGATAATTAAAGTGAAAACTTCCTTTCTACCTGGAGTAGTTCCTTTGCCCCGCGTGGTGGTCCAGTAGAAGCAGAAAACACATTTCCATGCCTTGTCTTATGTCTCCACCAGCTGAAATCTCACCTTTAAAGTGATACCTTTCCCACTGTGCTCCTAAACCTCCAGGAGTCCCAAAAGTGACTGTAGCCTCTAGTCACATGTAGCTGTGTAAATACAAATTGACCAAAATTATGTAAATTTAAAGATTCAGTTTCCTATTCATACTAGCTACATTTTAAGTGCTCAGTAGCTCCATGGGGTCGCATGTTGGAACAGCTCGGACAGGGAACGTTTATGTCATCACAGGAAGTTCTTCTGGACAGCATGGGCTTGAACAGTGAGCTGTTACCGGCAGCTTGTCCTTAGGGGTCTTTCTAGTGACTGTTGTCTAAAGGAATTGGTGAGAAATTTAGGTTATGACAGAAGAATGGGAGCAGCAGATGGAGGGACCATCGCAAGGCCCTGCTTTCCCTTCCTGACGGGATTTCCGCTCGCCTCAGACTTTGCTCTGCGTCTCTGAAGGGGAAGTCCTTGCCACCACAGAGCAGGAATCGCCTGTCCCGCAGCCTGGTGAGGGCAGGGGTGCTGCGTGGGGCGAGAGGCGGGAGACTTGGTGAGGGCAGGGGACGCTGTCTGAGGCCATCACTGCTGGCTGACGCTGAGCCTCACAGGGCCCACGCTTGTCGTGCACTTGATCGCCTGGCAGTATTATATCATTTTATCAAAACCGGTATTTTTTTCCCTCTTCTGCAGACCTATTCCCCTTTGTTCTGTTGTTGTGATAAAGAGCCAACTTGATAAAGTTGAAGGAAGGAAATTTTTTGTTTCCTGTAATGTTCGAAGTGTCGATGACGAGACCTTGTACTCAGAGGCAACAAGTAAGGAGCTGCCACTCTTTTGGGGGTGGGGTGGGTTCTAGTTTTGTTTTATTTTGTTTGGTTTTATGATCCACCCACACCTAGAAATTCTTAATTACATGTTATCCACAGGACAAGTCAAAAGTTTCTTATACTGTGCATTGCTGTAAAGGGCTTTTGCCAGTATCATCAAAATTACAGAATTATGGGCTGGGGATTTAGCTCAGTGGTTTCGCTGCCTGCTGCGCAAGCACGAGGACCTGAGTTTGATCCCCGGTACCAAAAAAAAAAAAACTTACAGAGTTATTCCGGGTGTGGTAATGCACATATGTGATCCCAGCACTCAGGAGGCTGAGGCAGGAGGATAGCCTCAAGTTCAAGGGTAGCCTGAACTACATAACAAGGCCTTGTATCAAAAAAAAAAAAATTACAGAGTTACATATGCTTTGACCCACTTCCAGGGCTTTATCTCACAGGTATATGTACTAATATGTGAACAAAATTACAATGTATTTGTCATACAGTTCCCATATTTGTACGTTCCATTATTACTTCCAATAGCAAAAAATTCTCAAAATATAGATATCCCTCAGTAGGAGACTGGTTAAATAGTTACAGTTCATCCCCAAACTATTTAGAGTGTGCCATAGAAAAGATTGTGGAATATTGTGATGCCATGGGGAGGGCTGAGGAAGCTCCTTAATATGGAGCTATCTCACTGACATATACTGTATGAAAAAGCCAAGAAGCAGGACAGTAAATGGAGTGTGTTGGTGCTAGTGTAGGAAGAACCAAGAGGTTCTCGTTTCTTTCCTTTTTCTTCTTTTTCCTTTGCACCTTTCTTCCCTCCGTGGTAATGTGTTCCAAGAGCCACTAGGCAGGCTTGGGCAGGATGGGCGCAGTGGTGAGGGGGCCCGGGGAAGGGGCTGCAGTGGCCCAGTGCAGGTGTCAGAGCCCAAGGAGGGGTGAGCAGGCGTCCCATGGAGAGCAGCATGGGCGGCAGAGCCCCTGCAGAGGGAGGGTGGCATCTGGAGGCCGGCAGCAGTGATGAATCTTGAGGCTGCGCGGAACTGGAGACACGGGGTGGGTGTGTGTTCCTAATCTTCTGCTCTTGCAAATAGTACTGTGACAAATAACTTGTCATTTTATACACATTGTGGCAAATTACTCTCCAACAGTTTGGGGAGAAATAAATCTTTGCACTAGTTTCACAGTCATCTGTAAGCTTGAAACTATTTTAAAATAAAAAGTAGTAAGTGAGGGGGGGAATGAGTGCTTATGCTCGCACGTGTGCAGACTGTGTCACGAGGATCACACACACATGTTTCTGCGGGGAGGGAAGCAGGCAAGGAAGGGGGAGGCCAGCGTACCTTAGAAAGTGGTTATGTGAGTGGATTACCAGGGGGAGTCAGCTTTTATGGGGCCACGTTTAAGAAAAAGAATTCAGTGTTAAGCCTTCCGGTGAGGAAAAAAACACAGCCTATTACTGCCATCCTTGAGATGGCAGATCCTTCCTTCTGCGGTCTCCATGGGCAGTTGCCAGAAATCCCACACTGAAAAGCCTCCTGACTGCAGCCTGGAGCACTGTACAATTCCTGGCTCCACTGGGGCCTTTGCACGTGAGGCGCCCTCGAAGCCCTCTGTTCACCAGCATCGGATCAGGCAGGCTGGACATCAGGGGTTTCCCTTCTTTTATTGTAAAGTTCCTTGGGTGTGCACGTTTAGATTAATCATAATCCTTGCCTTAGGACACACAGTCATCTCTGCTACAGCACTGGTAATCTTTTATTTATTCACTTAACACTTTTTAAAAAAATTTAGTAATAATAGGAACCAGACTCGTAGACATTTTATCCCTAAGTGCTATTCCCATCTTGTCCTTCTGCTTAAGGTCATTCTGATCTAGTTTTTGTTTTCCATTCTTTTGTGAGTTCTTGTTTTTATTTTTAAAATTTTCATCAAGAATAATACATATCTGGGGCGGGGATTTAGCTCAGTGGTTCTGCTGCCTGCCTTGCAAGTGCAAGGTCCCAAGTTTGATCCCCGGTACCAAAATAAAAAAGAATAATACATATCCAAGGAATATCTTGTTCAGTTTTTTTTTTTGTTTTTTTTTTTGGTACTGGGGATCGAACTTGGGACCTTGCAGAACCACTGAGCTAAATTCCTGGCCCTTGTTCAGTTTGTTTTTGAACTTCGTATGTGCTTTTCTGGGGCTTGATTTGTTTTTTCGCTCTGCTCCATGCTGCAGTGGTTCATCCCAGTTGCTGGCTGTGTAGTTCACTCATTTTTGCTGCTGAATAATGCTCCCCGGGTGACTACACCACAATGAGCTGAACTCTTCTGGCGGCCTCTGGCTGTCTTGAGGGAGCTGCTCTTGACATTTTCCTGGTTCATGTCTCCTGGTGGTGTGCATGGACGAGAGCCTGGCATATACCAGTGGTGGTGAACCCGTGCCATGTGTGTTGTTTTTCTAAATTAAAACCTCAGTATGGGCCAGGGATTTAGCTCAGTGGTTTTGCCACCTGCTGTGCAAGTGCAAGGACCCGAGTTCAATCCCTGGTACCAAAACAACGACAGCAACAACAAAAACCTCAGTATTTGTGTTTAATTGCAGTGCTGGCACCTTGTGATAAATAAGTGGCTTTTGGCTTGCAGCTTGGGCACTCGTCTTCAAAAGGTTCGCCATCACTGAGGTACACTGAGGTACTGAATTTCTGGTTGCAGAGTAGGTGCACATCTGGCTTTGTTACAAGGGTGCGCCAGAGTGCTGCCTGAAGCTGTACCAGATTACACTTCCGCCAGCAACATGAGAGTCTTCTGATCTCCATCTTCTGTAACAGTTGATAAAGTCAGACTTCTTAATTTTGCCAATTAAAATGGCTCTAAAATGGCATCTCAGCTGGGGATTTAGCTTAGTGGTGCCTCCACCTGCCTCGAAAGCGCAAGGTCCCGAGTTTGATACCCGGTACCAAAAAAAAAAATAAAACGGTATCTCAGTGTGATCTTGATTTGCATTTTCCTGATTGAAATTAGTTAAGTATCTCTTCATTATGTTTACTGATCATATTTTTTTCCATTCTGTGAAATTCCTGTTTGCTTTTTCAGCTTTTTTTTCATTTTCTTACTGATTTATAATCATTCTTTTTATATGTCATGTTATACTAACCCCTTTATTGGATATATATACACACACACATATATATGTATATATGTGTGTGTGTGTATATATATATATATATATAGTGCATATCTTTTTCCATTGTGTAAGTTATTTTCCGTTTGCTTTAAGCTATCTTTTTTATGAACAGAAGTTTTTAATGTTAATGTAATCAGACTTATGTTTTTCCCTTTACGGTTAATGCTTTTTGTACCCTGTAAGAAATTTGCTTTTTGGGCCGGGGATTTAGCTCAGTGGTTCAGGTGCCTGCCTCGCAAGCACAAGGTTCCGAGTTTGATCCCTGGTACCAAAAAAAAAAAAAAAGAAATTTGTTTTTCACCAAAGTATCAGCTGTTTGCAGGAATGATAGATAAAGGCATAGGAAAAAGATCATGAATAATTTGAACAGTCAATTTATAACTCCATTCCAGTCTGCACCTTATAATTCCTGCCTGACTAAACCTTTCCCTATCATAAAGGTACCAGATGGCTCAGTTGTAATCTTACTTCTTTTCATTTCTCTGGCTCTCTCTAATGGAAGTGCTAATGAACTGTAAAATGGCCTGGTAGTAGAGGACCTGGTTATCTGGGGGAGGTTGTACAGTATGTGGCAGCCAAAAGCTGATTCTTAGTTTAGCTGAAAAATCAGTAGGCAGAGAGACTGAAGGCATAAATATGAATCTAGACGCCTTCCTTTGTACGTGTCTCTCTATTAGTTTCGTCAGATTGAAGTCAGCTGACTTATGATCATCTTATTTTGTTTAGGCTTATTTATAATGCTGGATCCTAATAAAAAACTGACTTAGAAGAGCTTCTGGTGAATTCCACCTCATTTTTTGTGAACTTTCCCGGCCCCCACTCCTGTTCTGCTCATGCTGCTGATACCCCAGGGAAGCCTGCTGACACAGACCTTCTGGAACTGCCTTCGGAGCGCCACGCCCAGAGCTCCCTTTCAACAAGAAACACCCCCGTGAGACCTTCGGCAGTTCTCTGTATCTCCTTACCATACCTGTGCGGGTCTCCGAAAGCTTGAATGGGCTCCTCGGAGTTGCACAGCCATGGCATCCGCCGACCCACTGCAGACTGAAGGAAAAGTCTGTATTGAAACTTGAACTTGCAAACTAGGAAACCGAACAAAGGAATAAATATGTGCGGCTGTGCACACGTACACACGTGTGCCTGTGCACACTCACTGTAAGTTACAAAGCCGTCTTTGTCATATCCAAACAAACAAATCTTTCTGGCAAGGATGGGAAACACAGCTGTTTCCTCTAAGAACGGATGCCTCAGATCTCTTGCCTAGAGTTCCAGGGATTAAAGCCTGCGCCGTTGTAACAGACGCTGTACTGGTGTGTTACCAGCGGCAGGGTCAGTCATCACTGGGAGGAGCCTGAATTGTTTTCCCAGGTGTGTAACCAGGAACCTCAAACTGCGTGACTCAAACCAACAAAACTCATTGTCTCATGGTTCTGGAGGCCAGAAGTCCACGATTAAGATGAGGCCACTCCCCTTGCAAAGGTGCGAGGGAAGTAACGGTTTCAAGGCTTCCGGTGGCCTCGCCTCCCTCGGGCCGTAGAGGCAGTACAGCCTCCCTGTTTTCACATTGTCTTCCCTCTACGCATGCCTGTATCTCCTGATTACCCTTTTTTGTGAGGACACCTGCCTATTGATAGAGCCCACCCGGATTATCCCATTTTAAATTTTCACTTGATTACTTCTGTAAAGACCCTGTTTCCAAATAAGGTCATTATAAAAAAAAACGCTGTAAGTTAGGACTTCACCCTTCTTGAGGTTGGGAACACAATTCAACCTGTATAAGTCTCAGACAAAACTAAAAAGGAGTTGGGAGATTAATGTTTTGAACATATTATGCTTCCTGTGCAGGCAGTAGATTCTTTGGGCTTTAGTTTCTTGCCTTTCTTCTCCCTTACTGAAAGTTTAAGCTGAACCATATGAAATTGCTGTTTTCGAAAATCAGAATGGTTTCGCGGTGACAGTTTTCCTTTTTTTTTTCTTTTGGTACCGGGCATCCAACTCGGGACCTTGCACTTTTGAGGCAGGCCATGGAACCACTGACCTAAGTGCCCGGCCCCAAGGTGAGTTTTCTATGGCTAAGCCTGTTAACTTGGGATAGCTCTTACCTTACCAGTCATCCTTCCACAGGCAGAGGCTCAGCTGGAGGGCCTCAGAGCCACGGGCCCCTGGCATGGCCAAGCCTCAGAAGACCTGGGTCCTAGGAGCTGTGTCTATGCCCACAGCAGCTCCCAAGCTGCAGGAAGGCCAAGCGCACGGGGCGCCTGCCCCACACAGGGGAGCTGTCAGGTCCTTCTCCCCGGAAACTCAGCCTGGGGAAGCGCCCAGGAGGTGGCTGGGCTCACAGTTTATTCCCAGTCTTCCTTTCAAGTAATCCTGAGATGTCAGAGACAGTTTTCATAGAAACTGGCCGTGTTTAAAAAAAAAAAAGTGAAACTGAAGGAACAAGCTACCAGTGCTGTCTAGGTTCAGGTGCCTAGGAGAGGGAGTTCAGTGAGAGCCCTTCGCCCTGTCATTCGGCTGTCTGAGCAGGGTCGCAGAACAGTAGAGAACACCAGACCTGCACCGGGCCTAAGAACCCACTCAGAGCGCCGGGTGACCAGTTTTCCTTTTCCTGCTAAGCGCTCCGCTCCTTTGGTACCATTTTCCCTCCTACCCACTTGCCCGGCTTCAGTGGTCGCAGTGCTTGGCCGAATCGGGGTGTGGTGCAGGGTATCAGTGAGATTCCATGGAATCTCAAAGGAAAAGCTCAGTTGCAGTGGGCTTCCCTGCTTTGCAGCAGCCTGTCTGTAGGCTTCACCCTGGCATCCCTGGCGGCTCTGGGTTGGATTCTGATGGATACGTAAGGTGGCTGGACAGCCAGACCCGCCGCTGGCTCACTGTGGGACTTGACAGGACTGCCCGTTGCCTGTTTCTCCTTTCCGCACTGGGAGTAAGCAGCACTGTGAGTGGAGATTAGGACTTGGTGCGGGTTAGGGTTCAGCTGTCTTTGTATGAACATAATTAGGCAGTGAAGTCTTGCTTTCACTTTTACATTTCTCATTGTCTGAGAAGCATGGTAAGAAAATCATAAACAGAAATACAGGGTTGGAAGAATTTTTTAAAATGGATTTTTTTTCTCTGAGAGGAAGATGAAACATAAGGAAGTCAAGTAAGACCTTTTGTGTATGAAGGAAACTCATTCGCCACTTCCTATGTTCCACTGTCCATTCCTCCTCATCCACGCCCTTGACCTTCCGTCCTGGGGAAGTGAGGCCAAATTATTGTTCTGCTTAAGACCTGGCCCCTGTTGAAGCCTAGCCAGGCATGCTTTTCGATGCCAAGTGTTTGACATTATCTGAGGTAGAGAGAGGGCAGAATTTAAGTCACTGAAAATACGTTACGGATTTTATTGTCTCAGGTTTAAATTTCTTTTAATTTTAAAAAATATTTCTATTGGTAGTCTTGGTCTAGTAATACTATGACATGTTCAAAGTGACAGAATTGGTTTCTCCTTCATGTTAATTGGAGATTTTAAATTAGGTAGTCTTCAGACAAGGATACCACAAGGGGAAAAAAGAAAACCACAGACCAATATTCCTTATGAATTTAGGTACAGAAGTGTTTAGAAGACTACTAGGGAACTAAATCCAACAGTACATTTAAAAGATTTTACACTGACCTAGGGGAATTTATCCCACCAGTGCCGGAGTGATTCAACTTTAAAAAATCAATCGCCCAGGGCCGGGGATTTAGCTCAGTGGTTTTGAAGCCTGCTGCGCAAGCGCAAGGACCCGAGTTTGATCCCCAGTACCAAAAAAAAAAAAAAAAAAATCAGTCGCCCAGATGTGGTGCAGCCTGTAATTCCAGCACTCTGCCAGGCTGAGGCAGGAAGAGTGTGTGTGAGTTTGAGCCCAACCTGGGCAATTTAGCAAGACCTGTCTCAAAAAATAAAAAGGGCTGGGAATGTAGCTTAGTGTAAGATAGAGATTATGTAGCGGTAAGAGGGAATGAAATACATGTGCTGCAGTTTGATGAAGCACAACAATATGCTAGCTGGAAGAAGATGGTATTCAGATTAGGCAAAGCAGAAGCAGACAGTGGTTGTTGGGGATGGCAGGAAAGAACAGGTGTGAACACTCACAGCACTGTTCAGGGGAGATGAAGCTCCGAAACTGCAGAAAGCTGATGCACGTTGTGAAAGCTCAGTACTGTGCAGCTTTTCATGGGTGATTGTGAAGGGAATCTGACCTTGTCTTAAAAAATAATCCCAGTGAGATGCCACTTCGCACTGCCAGGGTGTAAGTAACATGGAAAGTGGCGAGTGTTGGCGAGGGTGTGGGAAACACAGTTGGCAGGGCTGTTTCTCAGAAAGCTAAATAATCTTAACCACGTGGACCAGAAGCTCTGCTGGCGGCACAAACCCGGATGAATGGAAGAGGCCCTCAGACAGCTGCCGGTGTGCCAGTGTTCACAGCAGTGCCACTCGCAATGGCCAAAAGGTGGAGCCAGCTAATGTCCAGGGACAGACGGCTGGACAAACAATGCCATAGATGCCCCTCAAGTGAAACTCCATCCTGATAAACCCACCATAAATTGAAAATGTGATTAACATGCATAACCCACCAAACCTCACAGTTCAGCGGCAGTCCACTGTGGCTCAGTGATAGCGAACCTTTTAGAGACCAAGTGCCAGACTGCTGCCCAAAACCCAAAGTGCTAACACTGCAATTAAACCTGAATACTGAGGTTTTGGATTAGAAAAAAATTCATACATTAACATCTTTTGTTTTAAAAACACAATAACAGCTTTCCATGGTACAGCTTTTTATTGGAAGGTAAAAGTTTGCATTTGGCATGCTTTTGCACAATGAATGTGCTCTTTGCTGTTGTGTGCGTGCTGATACATAACTTGTGGAATTCTGGCTGGGGTGACTTGGCTCGTGCCCGCTGCGGCACCTGTGCCACAGGTTCGCCTCCCCTGCCTTAGATCACCTGCTGATTTCCCTAAAGGTCCAGAGGCCCACGGAGCTGTAGCTCACTGCTGCCACCCAGCATCAGGAGAGAGTACTGCACCTCACGTCACTAGCCAACACAAAAGGCAAGGGGATGGAGATGTGTCGTGTACATGAACCAACTCCCCACAAGGAATATAAACATCATGTACTAGACACGCTTACTAATGAAAGGTGAATAAAATTCACAATACCGTCACTAATGCCTATCAGTTTCATACCCTGGTAAAGTAAAAAACTTCAGGTGAACCCTCATGAGAATATATGCATATATACATAAACAGATTTTTTTTGGTGTTCTGAGACAGTCTTTCATGCAGTCCAGACGCCTTGAACTGTGTAGCTCAGGTTGGCTTCAACCTCCCAGCAATCCTCCTGCTCAGCCTCCCAAGTTAGCTGGGCTTCCAGGCAGGCACCACCACTAGCAATACTTAGAATGCAAATACAAACAAACATAAGAAACTGGCAGAGCGCGCTGGGGGTTAGCTCAGTGGTGCCGTCGCCTGCCTCACAAGCACAAGGTCCTGAGTTCGATCCCTGGTACCAAAAAAAAAAAATTGGCAGAGCACTTTTGCTGCTGGGCCTCCTTTGCCACGCTGTAAGGATAAAACTGACTAACATTCAAAATTTTCATCAGAAAATCAAATAAATGCTGGGGAGGCTGCAGGGGAGAAAAAGAATATTTCTACCTTGTTGTGGGAGTGTAAACCAGTACAATCACTATAGAAATCAGCATGGAGATTCCTCAAAACTAAAACAGCGGGGCAAGATGTCGCACACCTGTAATCCCAGCACTTGGGAAGCTGAGGCAGGAGGATTGCTTGTGAGTTCGAGGCCAGCCTGGGGTACACAGTGAGTTCAAGGCCAGCCTGCACTACAAAACAAGACTGTCTCGCAAAACCAGACCAAACCCCCCAAAAACCCACTAAACATAAAAATTCCATTTGAATCAGGTATTTCTCTTCTAGGTATCTTCTTGAAAGAATGAAAGTCGTCACATTACAAGACCCATGCATACCCATGTTTCTAGCAGCATAACTCTTAATAACTAAATCTTAGAAATGGCCTATTTGCCTATCAACAGAGTAATAGGTTTTAAAAAATGTATTTACACTCAATGGAGTACTACTCTGCCATAAAGAAGGATAGACTTGAGCCATTGGTAGGTAAATGGATGCACCTCGAGTACATAACGTTAAGTGAAATAAATCAGACACACAGCATAGTTAAATATCATGGTCTTTCTTATATGAGAAATCCAAAATATGAATAAAGAGCAAAACAAAAGGTAGTAGGAAGTAGGGAGATCTTTTTCAAGCAGAGAGGGAAGAGAGGGGTAGGGGACATAAAAAATTAAGATGTGTTATGTATGTGTACCACCTCCTCACGATAACCAATCATTAGGTACTGCCAACATGGACTAGTAACAAATAAAAAAGATATTCAATTTCACTGATCCTATTTAAAATACTACTGGTGCCAGGCATGGAAGCACATGCCTATAATCCCAGCACTCGGGAGGCTGAGGCAGGAGGATCACCACCAGTTTGAGGCTAATCTGGATTTCATGGTGAATTCAAGGCAGCCTGAACTGCATAGTGAGGCCGTGCCTCAAAAATAAATAAACATATTAATAATACGTTGTTTTAGTGAAAGCAAGAACTTTGTATTAATAGTAAATAAAGTGAAATGGTTAAAAATTAAGTGGTTTGGAAAATGTATCAATGTTGTGTTATAGTATATGTTTATTTTGTAGATTTTGTTTATTTCATTACTTAGGAGAAATTAGAATTGCCCAAGCTGGAAGGTTTTAAGAAGGTTTCATTTTCTTCCATTCCTGGCTTCTCAGGCCTCCCCAAACTGTATTCATTCCCTTTTCAGACTCACCTCACTCATCTCTAACTCTCAAAACCTTTAAAGCAGCGCTATGCCCTGGAGCTCACCTAATTGGCTAATTAATTAACAAGCTAATAAAGAGCCCAAAATGTCCCGCTTTGAGGTCAGCATAACCTCAAACTCTCAATAACACTTAAGCCCTTTCTCTGAAGGAAATGAAATGAGGAATGGGAGTAGCTGGTTTTAGGGGGCTGTGTTTAGAGTCTTTACACAAGCCTAGCTGGTCAGTTATATTATTCAAATGGCTAGGGCAGGGATCAGCCAACTTCATCTGAACTGACACATGGTAAATTCTTGAGACACATTTGTGACTGTTTCTATCACAGTTAATCAACCAGTAGGCTGTAGCACAAAAGCAGCCACAGATAAGCGCAAAGGAACGGATCCTGCGTGTCACAATAAAACACTACTTAGAGGACATTTGGCTGGGTGGTGGCTATAGTTTGCTGGCCCTTGAGTTAGGAAATGTGAAGGTTTCAAGCGCAGGTATTGTCCTGATAATCCACTCCTTCAGAGGGTGGAGTGTAATTCTTCTTTGAGCGTGGACTGATTTAATGACTTGCTTCTAACAAACTAACCAAGACAGAAGTGACATCATCCAGGCATTCTGCCTCCCCCTTCCGTTTCAAAATCCATTTTAGGGGAGGTTGTCCCTCAGCAGCGGCCCTATGGACAGGTTACAGCCGGTAGAAACTGATTCCAGCCCAGCCAAGTCTCCGGAGAACACGGACCTGGGCCAGACCCATTCAGTACACAGTGCCGGGTTCCTGACCCCCAGAAATGGCATGAGATAATACATGGTATTTTAAACAGCTAAAATTGGGGTTAATCTATAATGTAGCAATCAATAACAAAGAACATAGAGGATTAAAATGCTAGTGGCACAGATACTTCCAACTAGATAATCCTCTTAGTGGCTTGAAGGGTACTTAAAGGTTTTTATGTAGCAAGTTTCAAAACTAATTATTAGACTGATACTAGGAGGGATTCAGATTTCCTATGTGTACACTGTATTTATTTGTGATAAAGCCTGGGAGAACTGTTAAAGCCATTAGGAGTTCAAATTGACAGCAATACACAATAGAATATTCCTCAGGCATAAAAAATGATGAAATTCTGTTATTGGCACCAACGCAGGTGGAACTAGGGGACATTAAGTGAAATAAGCCAGTCATAGAAAGCCAGCACATTTTCCCTTATATCTGGAAGCTAGTCATAGAAGAGAGTAGCAGAGTGGTTACCAGCCGCTGGGAAGGGAGCAGGGATAGGGAATAGCTAGCAGATACAGGGGTGCAGTTGGATAGGAGGAATAACTTCTAATGTCATGTTAGGAGGGAAACTATGATTGACAATCAACTGTGTATTTCAGAATAATACAGGGGATCTTGAATCTTCCCAACACAAAGCACAGATAACCATTTGAAATGATAAACACGCTAGTGCCCCTGACCTGACCATTCCACATTGCATGCACATGTTAAGATATTACACTGTACCCCATAAACATGTACATGTGTTAGTTTTTTAAATGGGTAACAAATAAATAATGGCAGAAGAGCCTAGTTTGGAGGACCAGGATTGAGGCTCCCAATTGAGTTATTTGGTTCCTGAAGAGACAGTTGACTCCAATATAAAATAAATCTTACCCAGGCGCGGTGGTGCACGCCTGCAATCACACCACCTGGGAGGCTGAGGCAGGATCGCCATGAGTTCAAGGCCAGACCGGGCTACATAGCAAGGCCCTGTCTCAAAAAACAACAAAACAAAAAGATAAATTCAAACATTTTGTCACTAAATTCATAAATCCTTACAAAGCTCTTAAAAATGTAGCATGTGCATTTTGAAGCCTCATAGGTTCTAATTCAAAATAAAATACGGAAATGATAGTAAGAGAAATGAAACCAGAGTACTTTGTCAAGTTCAGACCTAATATGGTGGACCCTTGACTTACAAACTCCATTTGTTCTCAAGGGCTGGTTGTAACTCAAGTTGGTCAACTGAAGTCTCAGGCTCCTCCACACGGCCTTCAAAGTCTCTCTCCTGTATCAGGCAGAGCTCAGGGTCCCTAGAGCGACACTGGCCCAGGATTTCTCAGTTAACCCCTACAGGAGAGGATGCTGTCCTGCTCCTTCCAGGACTCTTAAGGGTTAAATCTGTGTCTGAGGCCATCTGGAAGCACAAGCGGCCAGCATTAGGGTCGTAACTCAAGACTTTGTTCATAAGTTAAAACTAAAATTCCAGTCACAACCCCAGTTGTTCCTATGTCAGGCTGGTCATAACTCAAGGATCCACTGTATTAAAAAATTAAGAAGTAACACTATGTGTACATTTTAAAAACAGAAGAAACAGCTGTAGCAGTTAGAAGTGCTTGAATCTGGATGTGGGAAAGGTGTAGGGTGGAAGGAACACAATGTTTTTTAAGAATAATAAATAAACCTTGTTCCCATAAGGCTTAACTCTAACGTGCTTGCAAGAATTACCCTGATAAAATAAAAACTAAATTTTTAAAATAGCTCACGCCTCATGGGAATGATGTGGAAAGGGTAAACACACAAACAGTTCTTAGCACGGTGCATGACAGGTGTTCCAGAAACACACGTCCGTGTCCCTGAGCAGATGAGTGATTTCCAGAGGGCACCCCTGGCTGACACAGAAGACACAACTCACAGAAACCGCAGCTGTGGACAGGGCTGGGCCTCATGCTCACGGAGGAGCCGTGAGCGGCCCTGGTGGGCTGAGGACCTTTCCCTGCAGCTTCCCACCCTGTGCGGACTGCCCCAGAGGAGGCCTTCTGGCAGCCCACGGTCTGTGGAAGTCAGAGCACGGGCCTGGGGCAGACACTCGTGCTGGGACCTGGGTGCGTGACTCTGGCCAAGTTGGTCAGCCTCCGAGAGCGTCTCCCCATCTGTCCCACAGAGTTCCATCAGCTCTGTTTCCCAGAGTTATCATGGACATGGAGTGAGTGAAGGAATACGCAGTGCTTACAAAGTGTATTCATCTGCTTTCTATTACTATAGCAAAGTATCCAGGGCTGGGTAAGGTGTAAAGAAAAGAGGTTACGTAGCCCATGGCTCTGTAGGTCCAGGAACACGGTACTGGCCTCTGCTGGACTCTGGTGAGGGCCTTGTGCTGGCAATACCACAAGCGGGGTCGCACTCTTGAGATTGTCACAGGGCCAGACAGGAAGCCAGAGGGCGGGGAGGGGCCGATCTTGCTGTTTTTATAACAATCCGCTTTGAAGGAATTAATTTACCCCAAGCGATCAGCGTTAAAGCATTAATCCCAGTAACCTCCAGCGAGGTTCCACCTCTGGGGACTGGACTCAGGGCCTTCTGCAGCCCCTTGAATTATTATTTATTTTGATACAGCGTCTCCCTAAGTTGTCCAGGGTAGGCTCAGACTTGCAATTTTCCTGCCTCAGCCTCCCAAGAGGTGTGCACCACCACACTCGGCTCAGGCTCCACCTCTGGAAGGTCCTGACTACCTCTCCCACCACCACACCGGGGACCACACTTCAAGTACATAAACCTTTGGGGGAGTCACACTCAAGCCAAAGCAGAAGGATCCCCAGTAAGTGCCATGTACTTGTCAACTGTCATTGTCGAGTTGTTTTGCTTTTGGACTTTAAATATTAAATAAGTGGGCTGGGCGTGTAGCTCTGTGGTAGAACGCATGCCTAGTGTGGGTAAGGGCCTGGATTTGATCCCTGGCATCGAGAAAAAATTAAAATAAGCATAGCTGTATGTAGGGAACAGGGAAAGGGGAAGTTACTAGAACCTCTGCAGTACGTCCTAGTCTCCTGTAAGCCACAGCAGTACACGGTGAATTACAGGAAAGGTGGAAAAATGAGACTGAGAAGAAGCTGAGCTTGGACCCTGCGTCTTTCCAAGCTCAAAAGGACAGAGATCCCAGGAGTGAAAGTTTTGGAACGTGTCCGGAAGTCCTAGGTGGTACAGGAGAGGGGCAGAGTGGGGAGCAGCGGCCACAGGCAGAGAGTTTGGGAGGCAGGTCCACGAGGTGGCTCCTCCCACCTTTGGGTGACAGTCTGCGTGCAGGGGCAGCCACCGGTGAGACCGCAGCCGCAGAGCAGTGTCACCATGGCAGCCGTGGGAACCGGGGCCACCTGTTGGGAGGACCCAGGTGGTTCTTGCTCTTGGAAGAGGAACTTCCCCTTCTCACCGCATCGAGGACTTGCTTCCCCGAGCAGGCGTCACCATGGTGACCTGATGATGCAGCAGAGGGCAGCATCAGCCTCAGGGACAGAGTCCTCGCTGCATCCGCGCTGCCCCTGCCGCGGGGGCTCCTGGCTCCCCATAGCAGGACCGGAGAGCAGCCGGGGCGGGGCAAGGTTAGGCTCACACCAGCCTGTGCAGGTTGGGGTGGCTGTGCAGCTCCTATCAAACTTGGGGTACCCGCTTTTGGACCGGGACTCACAGCCTGGATGGGGGGTGTGCACAGCTATGAATGACACTGACGAAAACGAGGGCCCCCGGTGGCTCCCCCAGGACACACGCCCGGCCTTCGGGCGTGGACGTATCCAGCTTCCTCTAAGCCTCCCCTGCCCGCATCCTTGTGCTTCCAGAGCAGGGCAATCAGGCCAAATGCAGAAGGGAAGCGGGAGAAGAAGAGGAAGGGGCAGGGGATGGCCAGCAGCTGACAGTGACTTTGAAGAATCTTTTTAAGGAGCAGACTGGGATAGATTCAGTGTGCAGCTTTTGCACCCCTTAACTGTTTATGTCCCGAGTGGCCAACAGTGGAGAAGCAGGGTTAAGAGGAAGCTGGGTGTGGCGGCTAAGCCTGTAATCCCA